CGGTTCTTACATTTAGTGTGCATTTCTGACCGGTGGTGTGTATTTCCTACATGTGGTGTGTATTTCTGACAGATGTGTCTTTTTGATGATCATATGAGAACAATACTGAACATGTAGTGAAATTGAGGTTAATGTCTGCCCAATATTTTGAATTAGTTATCAATTATTAATAAATTCACAATAAAGAAATAAATACACATGCTTCAATGACCTCAACCTTGTTGAATAAACCCCCACCCCAATGACATGCAAATTGTATTACTAATTCTACTGAACAATATGGAGGGAGATCTAATCACTGCACAGCTGTACACACATAAAAGACAATAGCACTGTAATCTCAAATATAAAGAAACTCTATGAAAAAACTCAAAATAGCTAGGCATGCCAAATAGGTATCTGAAGATGAAAATGTTGATGCTTGTTGGAAAACTAAGAATTGACACATTACATATTTACATTATAGGCAACAAATAACACAAATATTCTTCACCGTTAACAACTTCTATATACTATTTACAGAATTCAGTTAAAAACAATTGTAATAAACCTTTCAAAAATATGCTACAGGTCAGTCCAAAAAATGAAACATCTAACCCCTAATTAATTTTTCATTCCAATTGTACTTCACAGGGTGTTTGAATGTTAACTATTTAGTGGGGCATACTCACCTTGCTAAACATTCAACTAAAGAAAACTCTCCTACATTACTCTCTATCAAGTTATTTTATTATGAACTATGACCATATTTTGAGCAATTACAAGGAAATTGTTGTTTGGGTACCTCACTTAAAATAAAAATTTTGAGAATAATACGATTTGAATGATTTACCACATATACATTATGTAACACAGATTTTAATTAATTTAGATTATAACACTAGACATATAGTCACATAATGGACATGTGAGCTAACAACTCCTCAATAGAAAACATGAAAATGACAAATATTGCAAAACCGACAGATATTATTTGAGAAGCATATCTTAAGCATTTAGCAATGTTTTGTAAGACAGCTTATTTTATAAATTCTGAAAAAAAATTAAATTCAACCAAATGAGAAAAATGTTAAAATAAAATTGAATCTGAAGACTAAATTATAATACACTGCATTCCACAATGTTATTTTCAAACATGATTAGAATCAAAACCAGTCTATCCCTGCAGCATTATTGGTATAGTAAATCCACCTGTTCCAAAGTATGTTAGATGGGAATGAGATGGCGGAGCCAGGATGGAGAGCACTATGTCTGTCATCTATCTCTAAAGCACACATTGAAGTATATTTTACATTTACAGAAATCCTAAATTAAACAAATTTTTGTTAGCATTCGTTATCATAAATCAGAAGATTGTAAACATATTTTCCCGGTAAAACACGAAATTGAATTAAGAAATTATATTAATATAAAAAATTGTATTTTGAGTTTCAAGGTTTAAAGCCTCAATGTGTAATCATGAGTGTGAGAGAGTATGGCAGTTTTTTTTTGTTCATCGACTCAACCAATTGGTTGTAAATACATGATATATTATTACGACAAATAGTGCAGAAAGACAGTATAGCAAGAGTATTGCCTGATACATTGCCATGGTTACATGACTGTTAGTTCATACTTCACGGTGAAGATGTCCAATTAAGTGATATGTAACAGCTACAGGAAATCAAATTTCAATTGATTTTGGCTATCTGTGAAGTGAAAACACTCAACAGAGTGCTACTACTGGTTCTTGGACTTGACGGCCATTACTTGACTTCAACACACAATCACCTCAGATATTATTGGCTACTGATTGATGTATTGGAGGTTGATAACACCTGACTTGTTCCACTGGCAAGTTATCAGAATCACTGGATTTCAGGTACTTGTTGAGAATAGAGAAAATTTGACAGTTGAGAATTTGAAATTTCCGAACTCTGTCCACAAACCTCTTCAATGCCTGAAAAACAATTGAGCACACAAAATGAGGTGATACGGCGATACAGGAAATCTTAATGCATTTCATTTCATTTTGACGATTCGTTTGAGGATTTCATATATTTTAATATATATACAAGTATAAACTGAGCCATAATTTCCTTTGCGGTACAAAATCAGAAAACACACGATGATATGCCCATGTGGCATGTGTCACACCTTGTTTTCACGCCCAATTTAAATAGCTAATATTTTACAGATTAGGAGATTTGTTCCTTTTGTCGCAACTGTTCTCAAGTCCAGACAACAGAATTACAACGTTAAAGCTTATTGTTTATTTAAATCTTTTTTGTGTGCACAGTCTGGAGTGTAACACATGCAAATAGCTGGAATATAAATTAATGGTCAACCAAAAATTCATTTTAAGCTATGTGCTGTTTGCATATATGTAAGCATGAACACTCTAGCATTTGATATCATAAAGTTCATTTTTGCTCGGCATTACACGAGTTAAAAAAAACAAACAAGCAGCCTGTCGGCTGAGATAGCTCCGCTGTTAGCAATGCACATGGCAATTAAAGAACAGAAGATATCATTAGAAAATGAACAAATCTGAGAGAGGTCCACATGTAGTACTTATATGTATAATATATCAAAGCAATTGGACTTGAGGTTTTTAACAAGAAGTCAAAAATATCACTTTTTACCAAAAATTACAAAAATATTCATCAAAAT